CCTGGTCAGCAGTAGAATAATTTATTATACTTCATTAAAAATGACTTGGGAAGGGGAGGGCACAGTTCAGTGGTAGAGCCTGTGTTCAGCATGCACGAGGTCCTGAGTTCAATCCTCAGTACCTCCATTGAAATAAATAAGAACCTCATTACCACCCCCTCTTCCCCCCAAAAATGACTTGAGAAACAGACTCACAGATATGGAAAACAAACTAGTGGTTACCAAAGTGGAAAGGAAAGGGGCGGGGACAAACTAAGGGTGTGGGATTAAGAGAAACAAACTACTACAAAATAGATAAGCAACAAGGATATACTATATCACACCGGGAATTATAGCCATTATTTTGTATTAACTTTTAATGGAGTATAATCTGTAAAAAAATGCTGAATCACTGTGCTGTATACCTGAAACTAATAGAATATGGTGACTCAACTATACCTCAATTAAAAACAAAGAGACTTGGAATCTGGTGGATAGTTACACGTTTATGCCCAGGGCTATATTGCTCGTAAAAGTCAAAGGGAATTTGTCTTCTCAATTTAACTAAAACCCAGTTCCCTGTTTTAAGCTGATTTGAACAAGAGGCACCATGAACCCAAAGACCTTGAACAGCAAAAAGAGAAGGACCCAGGGAGTTTCTTGGTTATAATGTTTATTGAGATAATTGGCCCTTGGATGAAGCACCTTCCTATAAAATTCTCATCCTATATCTTATTTATACTCACAATACTCCAGTGAAGCAGACAAGAACAGTTTTTATATCAATCTCCAGTTTCTAAGAAGGAAATGGAGACAAACCCAGGTTAGTGATGTGCCCAACGTCAATCCAGTGTCTTCTGAGTCAGCTTGGTGTTTGATGCTGAGTGGTGCTTGGTGGCTGCATGGTTCAGGGCTCCAAACCCATCCAATGTTTTCTCCCTCAAAGCAGATGTCTCCCTCAGCAGAGTGGGACCTATCAGACAAAGGAGGGGGCTCAAGCACTGCTATTCCCTGGGGGCTGCCACTGAGGTCTTGCAGCTGGAAGGCGGCCTTGGACCCCAAGTGCTGTGACCTCCATTTGGATATCAGGGACCACCTGGTGGGATCAGCCAATAGGCAGAGAGCCGTGCAGATGCTGCCAGCATCACCTACAGCCTCACCCACTTCCTCTCTCCCAACATCAACCAGCAAGTCCTAGCTTTGGACAGACACTGCCTAAGCCTCTGCTTGGCTGTGTCATCCGGTGTTTTCACCTCTCTTGCAAGGGAACCCCTTCAGCCTCCGACCAAGGCACAGACGTTATTGTGGAACCGGAGTACAGGAGAAATCCTAGCCCGAATGATGAGTGGCGTTGTTTCTTTCCGTCTGTCAGAATTACTTCTGCCGCTTAAGGAAAACAAAGTGGGGAAGAAAAACCTGGTTAATGTAAGGTTTATGTAACAAATGTTTTATTTGCCTTGTCTTCTTTGCCATCATTGGGGATTTTAGCTTTTAATGCTACCGGACTTGGGATAAAGTTGTGTCCTCCATGAAAGTTACACAATGATGTCTTTCCAGTGATTGGCCTTAAAGGCTTCAAATGACCAAATGGAGTGGATTAGCAGTGACCAATGGAAGACAGCATGTGGGTACACCGTGTAGGTTGGCCAGAAGCATCGCCGGGGGATGGTCTCTGTGGTCTCCAGCTCAGTCTGCAGGGCAAGGCCAGGTTACCCCTACTTCCCAGGAGTCAAGGTTTAAGTTAAGGTAAATTAGCAGGAGGACATGAAAATGCTCCAAACAAGTAACTGGAAAGCTTGTCTCAAAAACCTTAAATTTGGAGATGGCATTTACTCATTGGCATCATTCAGTTCACCAGCAAAATGGAGGGATTTTTAGGTGTTCTCCAATTCACACATCATATACCAGCAGCCAGGGTGACACTGCCACTCTCTACAACCTCGACTGAACTGCCAGACCAAACCACAGAACGGGCCTCATCTGGTTCTCTGACCTAGAAAGCAGAATCAAATCTTTATTGATCTTTATTGACGTTGACCTGCTTATTGTTTTGTTTTGGATGTGTACCTGTGCGCATGTTTTTTAGTGTCATAAGCAAATATTCTATTAGAGTTCCCACCCTCAATTCCAGTACTAAGAAACATCACTATTTATCATGGTTTCAGTTTCCCAGGTCATGTTCTAAAATGCAAGCTAAGAAAATGAGAAAGTTTTGAGAAGGACTTTTTTTTTTTATGTTTTTCAGATCTCTCACACAAAGAAGCTTTCTGCTGATGATGAGTGGAAGTAAGTGATTTGTATTTCTTTTACAGCTGGTATACTAAAAATGAATCTCCATCTCCACTGTTTGAGAAATTAAATGAAGCTCTCATTTTATTTATAAATTTCCTGGGGTAGAAGGTGAGTTAGTA